AAGTTTTTCCAATTCAAAAGATCCATCATTTGGCCATTGATGAGTAGTAGGATCTTATATTAATCTCAATAGCACCTCAAACTTATAAGCCTTTTTATGGCTTAACCTATAAGCCTTTTTATGGCTTAACCATGGATGCAAGAGGCATCCCGAAACGGGGTGCAAAAGATGCAGCCCTCACATGATTCAGAAAGCTCACTCCCAGAGTTAGCCTAAGAAAGCAAAGACCTTCATTGTCACACGTGGTTAGAATGGGGTCGTGAAAAGTGTTTCCCATAAGAATGATATGCCTTCAGTTACAAACCTGCGACACTGGGTAAGCACTACTGGAACAGGACTTTCCCAGCCCTAAATAAGACAAGAAGGTGGAGACAACAAGGGGCCCTTATGACCGACGCCCACGAGAGCCGGTAGCATCGGAGAACGTTGCTTATCAGTTAGTGTCCCGGATCCCCAGCCTATTCAGGTGGTCGCCAGATGCATGCAGACACATGCATCATCCATCTGGCAGAGACCAGAGAGACTATTCTCACTGGTCATGAAGCCAAGCTCTCAAAACAGAATAAAACGAAAGGAAAATCTCATCTGTCCTATGGTTCTCTTCTGACAACACAAGAGACAGAGATAAAAGAAAACAATGACCATCTGTGGGAGGAAAGAGGACCAGTAGAAGACAAAAATACTCATAACAAAAACCTCTACCAAAGTCACAATACCTAAGGAACTGGCTGACACAAATATTTTCTCCTGCTAATCTCAATTTGGAAAAGAAGGGACAAGGTGAAATTTTTACCTTCCTCTCTCAACTGCACCAGACTGAGATCTAGGAGAGCTGACTTTAGTAAGAATTCTTACCCTTCTCGGGCTTCTGCCCGTTTTCCAGAATCCCATCTGCAGGCTCCCAAGTGAGTATGGTATCTCAGCAGCTCCCAGGGTAGGCTGCCAAACTGTAGGAGAGGAAAAATAATTTTCCCTTTACTTTTCTACGTTCTTGGCTAAGATCCCCATCCCACCCCCCGCCATACCGCCGTAATCATAGACAGGTGAACAGAAGAAAACAGGAAAAAAACAGAAGTTTACTAGCATGTATACCTCCTGTATACTTGAGAGACCCAGGAAAACAGTAAAAGTTCCCGCAATGGCCCATGACACCACCTTAAATACCACCTCCAGCTAAAGAGAAAAGATGATGTTGTGGGCGAGGGAGCCAGTTCTGGGAGGATGGTGGGAAAAGCACAACATACACGGCTAAGGTTGTCCTGCGGATTTAAGTCTCTGCCTTCTCCATTGATAAGAGTCTCGAGAGATACAAAGTCATCCTCCTGTACCTGGCAGAGAGGGAGACACCCTTACAAATGGAGATTTCCCTTGTAACTGTGCATGTCTCACAAAAAACGTAACTTCTATTCCACTTTTCAGAGCTTTTACTGAAAAGTGAAAAAGCTTTCCACTTTTGTCTGCTTTTTCTTAAAAAATAACCAGCTCAAGATAAACCTTGTGCCCCAGAGGCACGTTTTGGGGTGGCAAATTCTGCTCCCCTTCAAAGATAAACACACGTTGAGCTAGCTGCTCCCTTAGGTATATCTGGGGAGAGGAATGAGTACTTTCACCTCTGTTACATACACTTCTGTGTTTAACTGTTTTCATTTTACACTTTACTTTTCAAAAATTCATTAAAAACTTTAAGAAGTTATGTTTCCTTTGTACTTTCATAGGTTAAGATGCCATACTGTTGAGAGCATTAAGCCAACCACTCTTACATTGAAGCACCATGCCTTTAACATGTCAGATAAAACCAGTGAAGATCTCTATCTACAGGTAAGTGTTCTTTCTTCCTAACTGTAAGTCTTTAATGTTAATCAATATTAGAAATCCATTTTTTCCCCACTGACATAAAGCAGACCTTTGGCATAGCCACGACAGAAATGCTCTCTTCCTTCTTTGTGAAGGGAAGCCAGATCAGAAATGGTAAGTGGTGCGTTACTTTTGGAGATCTTCTAACTAACTTTCTGAAAGCTCTGGCTATTTCAGTTTGGACTAGGGACCTTATAGCAAAGCGCATGGTATTTTGGGGGGTATCGAAGAACTTGATCTCATGGAAAAGGTACCATGTAGTGCATTTAAATTTGAAAAAGGTGGAGGTGGAGGGGCTCTCTTTCTGAATAGCTGGTTTCAGTACCTCCAGGAAATGATTGCTTTGTTCCTTTCTCAACTAGAGAATTAGACCTTTTCAAAATGAGAACAGATACACATCCATTCAGCAACCAAATTGCATTCCCAGCTCCCAGCCTCTCAGAGTAGATGGACTCTGTCCCATAAATGTTTGTGGGATTTCTAATATTCCCGTTTGTCACGCACATGATTATTGTACTGTTTCATTGATACAAACCTTTCATCCTTTTCTCCCCTCTTTAGCTCAATCGTTTACTAGAAAGCAATAGGAAGCTTGAAGACCAAGTTCAGCATTGTATCTGGTTCCAGCAATGGCTGCTTTCCTTAACAGTGGTCTCGCTTGCTTTTGTCATCTCTCTCTTCTATTTGTTGTACAGTTAAAGAAGTGGTGCTCGGTAGGAAACATGGCTTTTCCGTTCATTAGTTGGAAAAAGTACCACCCAGAACTTCTCCACCATGCTGAAAGTGTCACACATCTGTGCTTCCTTCCTCCAAGGAAATGTACGGCATTTGGGGGGGGGGGGGACTGAAACATGTCTTGAAAATAAACTGTTACAATAAGGAAACGCTGAAGATATTGATTATAAGAGACTATAGGTAGTCAGTCAAGTAAGTAAAGGTATATCTGTTGTGTGACTTAATAGAGATAATTTATTTTTCCCTTTTGATTTAATACTTTTAAAGCTTGTCTTATCATGTATATATGTTAGCTGAACGGAAAAGTAACATGCTTTGTTGCCGCCAAAAACTGTCATCTGCTTTTTTTTTTGACAGAATTATTATAGCTGAGCCAACTTATTAGCTTTTCTATACTATGTATATAGAAGAACATGTATATTGAAAAAACATACAGAGTAATTTCTGTAACCATGACTTTGTAATTTTGAGAACTACTAACAGATGCTAGTCGATGTTCTTTTGGAATGTACAACTACTTAATGCCAAACCACCTTTAGCCTTTGTTTCTTATCCGTCTTCCTTAACGGCCTGCCTGCCTTTTATTAATCTCAGACTTTTTAATGAACACTCACACTCTCATTTAGCTAGGATTTGGGGAACTAAGTCTGGTTGGATTTTCTCTAAATTCTGTCCGTCAGTAACGTCCAGAAGAAGAACCTCTCCAGTCTTTTTTTACGCAGTTTCACGTTGCTCTCTCTGGCTGGACAGGGACCCTTTTGCTTCACTTATTATAAAGGCCTGATCCTCCATTGGACCATCTTCACCCTCCTTTCTAAACGAAAGGAGTTAGTTAGTTTTTGAGATGCAGAGCAGTATAATTCATTTACATTTCAATTCCTTGCTAAAATCAGCCACGAGAAGGGAACTTTCGGTAAGGGTGAAAAAATAAATCGAAAGTGTCACTTCTCAGTTTAAGAGTGAAAAATACTGTAAAAACTTCAGACCAGGGTTAATTGACTCACTTGATATATTCTGCCTTTGTCACAGCAATACTGAGGACGGTTCCTCAATTCGTAACATGATACACCTCGCAGGAGCAGAGCCTAATGCAAGTAGTTTGTTTTCTCATTTAATATAAACAGTTTTGGTCCATGTTGGTTCACATATAAATCTACTTTATATGAAAGAAAAAAATAGTCTGCCTGTAAAATAAATTTTGAGTTTTGATTGAGCCATGTTTGCAGAATGTTTTATTCTGAGGTTGTAGTGTTGGCGGCTTTCATCTTGAGAATGTGATGATTCCCAGATGGCATTATGAAGAATGAAAAAATAGAGTTCCTTCAAAACTGGCCTAGGAAATAAAACCTTAAATGGACACTGGTCTGATACTTCGTCTTAATTTGGGTTTTTCTGTTTCAGTTTGCCACCTCCAGACGTGAAAGTGACTGCAGCCCACCCTAAGTAGTACTGTCCATAGTATCTCCCTGTGTGTGTGCACAGCGATTTCCCCTTATATGTTAGATTCCTGGCTTTGTCATAATCTAATCCCGAAGTATCTGTGTATGTGTTTTGTTCTTCAGCAAATAAGCGAGGAAATAGTCAAAATTGGAAATGTATTGTCCTGACGGTGTCCCTTTAATGTTTCACATGAAAATTACATTGACTCACTAAACTGTTTTTCCCTGATGTCTGGCCAGTTGAATTTAATAACATTTCTTGTTAACATTTGTGTGTCTATTAAATGTGACTAAGCAAAATTTACTGAAAATTAACCATAAAATCAAAGGCATCTGAACTTCTGTACTTAATTGATCACATATATTTACATTTGATTTTATTGTGTCTTCGTTTGATTTTATTTAATCACGTCTGTATGACTGAGTATGCTATAATTAATAATTTTATTTTTTAATATGTCATTACCTGTTCATGACCAAATTACCAAGGACCAACATTCAGATTTAAATTATCTTCACTTGGAATGGAAATTCATAGAGTTTCCATGAAAACATTAACGAAATATCATTATAGGCAAGTAGCCTAAAGATACAATTGCTGGTAAACCTAGCCTCAAATTTCATAATATACCATAACTGTTTTTATATCTTGCCACTAATTTTGACTGGATTTAATAGCACTTTATTGTACAATTGCAAAAAACAAAAATATATTCCTAGAATTGTTGCCGGTGTAATTTCTCTAATGTTCTGGTGCTTTTCATATATTTTCAGTATTTTTATTACTATATTGGTATTTTCTTTGTATAAATTGATCAAAAGAACATGTTTTCTATTTTAATATGTTTTAGAAAAATAATTACATTTATGCAATAAATATCATCAGGAAAAACCTCTGGTCTCTAATTGATAAAGCATCTTAAAAATCAAAGCTCAGGTTCACTCTGACCTTTCAAAGATCACATTAATTTCTTCTGCACCTACTTACCTTTTTATAAGGATGGCACCACAAACTTCCAAAGGCACAATTGTGTCATCAGGTGAGCCCGTCCCTAGTGTGTCCCATTTCTCCTCGCCCCTGGGTCAGGGTCTGGCTGCTCTTCAGGGGAGCTCTCCATTTTCCGGACTTAGCGTTGGCCTCACTGTCACAGCTGGGGGCTCCATCACAGAACCTATCACTAGAGTGGCCACACATGTCAGAATTGCCCTACATCCCTCAATCCTAGTACCTATACACCTGCCTGCTGACAGGAACCTGCAGGAAGCAGGCTGACAAGAAATCCTACCTGGCTGCCGGGCGCATGGCGGGTGGTCCAGGCGAGAAGGCACCGGAGCACGGCACGTGGGTGTGGTTCAGGAGGGGCGGCCCCGGATAGTGATGGCAAAGGCCCTGGGGATTGTTTGTGTGGTTCCCCTCGCCACTGGAAGACCCAACTCCCAAGTGCAGCTCCATAAAATAGAACGAAAAGGACAGGTCCATCTTCTAAACTGCAAAAGAGGTCGAGATACAAAACCATGGGAGAAATTCAAAACAGAGCCACAAAGACAGACCGGTAACCTACCAAGGAGCCCCACACCTACCCAGGACTCTGAGGGTGTGGCCTCCTTTCCCAAAAGATGCAATTTTCTAGGAAAGAGCTCCTGTGTGGGGAAAGCTCCAGCTAGAAAAGGATCAGTTACTTTACAGCAACCCAGCTCTTCTCTAAATTTTACCAGCAACTTAAGGTTTCTTGATGTCAGAACAACATGGGTCCCCAGAAGCACAGGACTCCCCTTCTCTTCCTGGCCCAAGGGCACGGAATGGAAGTCCTCCCATTTGTCCCAGCTGAGGGAGTGGTGGCCAGAAGTGAGGGCTCTGAATGAAGACTGCCCGGGTTCAAGTCCCCTCTCTGACATTTGCTACCTGTGTGACCCGGGAACGTTAATTAACCTCTTTCAGCCTCAGTTTCCTCATCCCTAAGTGCCTCTGATATCAAAGTACAACTTCCCAGGATGAGCGTGAGAGCGAGAGGAAATCTTGCATTTAAAAGCAGCCCCGGAGAGGCTAGCCTGGCTTTGTTGATGTTGCCTCCACCACCTTCCATTCCAGCTCCCTAGAACTTTTCACACTTGGGTTGATGTCCTGAATATCCCATCTCACTCAAAGCCAAATGTCAGTTCTCCAAACTCTTCCCTGCTCTGTACTCCCATCCTTGCCTTCTTGGTACTTCACTCTGAATTCTGGTGCCCAGGTCAAGGGATGCATGTAGATGGCCAGTGATGATCAACTGCCTTGAATCCTGTAAAGGAGTATCCCTTACCAGTCTGAGGAAGACTTGGTTTGATGCTGCCTTCCACCACTGCACCCACACCCCGTCATAACAGCACACCCACACCTGGAATTCATCTTGCAATATTCCACCATAACAGTTTCCTGTTACATCTGTAACAATTCCATAAAAATATCACATAGGATCTTTCACATCCTCATAACAATTTCATCCTTAACACTGAATATAATTACTTCCCTCTAATGTCCAAAGATTCTCCTCCCTACCCTACTCATGTCCCCTGCCATGCAAAGTAAAGCCAATCTCTTGCACATGTTAAAATATTTGAGACAACCGGTTCAACTGGCAAGAATACAGAATCCTTGAAATTACCAGTTGTTCGTGTTCCTTTGTCTGAACAATGTGAGAATACATGATAAGACCTTGTGTTTTACAGATAAGGAAACCAAGAGCCTGAGAAATAATTCTTTTTCCCAAGGTCACAGGCTAGTTGGTTTCAGAGCCAAGAGTTGAACTAGTCTCCCAAGTCCACTGCTTGTTACAAACCACTCAGAACTGCCACATCTGAGTAATAGGTTACAATGCTGAAAGGACAGCTCTGAGAACTTTACCTACCCTAAACAGCAGGAGACGAAAAAGAGAAGATAGAATACTTGAGAAGCAGAGGTGACAAAACACAAATAACCACTCAGGACCCTTGGTTGGAAACGTACTTGGAATTCTAAGCTACAGACAGAACTTACTTTGTGAAAGGTTTGAAACGTACAGGTTAATGTACTGTTTACTTTGATGGAGGGCTGTGTTGTGCAGCATCAACCTTCTGAGAGGTTTATCCATCACTCTGTAGAAGGGCACCTAGTAGGGTGTGCAGCTACAAGTTGTCTCAGCCATAGTCTAGTCACCTCAAGGAGTCATGTGTTTAATACAATCAGATCATAGAAGTTTTCTATTGCCACGTAACAAATTACCTCAAAGTTAGCATCTTAAAACCACCCGAATTATTTCATAGTTTGTGTGGGCTGAGTCTGGTACAGCATGGCTGGGTTCTCTGGTCAAGGTCTCACAAGACTGTCAGCCAATGACATCCTCCGTGGAGGCTCAACTGGACAAAGATCCACTTCCAAGGGCTCACCTGATTAGATCAGATCCAGCCAGGACAAATCTCCCTTCTGATGAACTCAAAGATAACTGATTAGAAACTTTACATCTGACAAATCCCTCCTGCTGTGTAAGCTTACCTAAATCATGGGAGTGTTATCCCATCACATTCACTAGCCCCAGCCCCCACTCAAGGGAAAGGGTTATATAGAGTGTGTATTGGGTAGAACCTGCAAGCTCATCCAATCTGGTCCCCTCACTTTGCAGACCAGGAGACAGAGGGTCAGAAAGCTGAACCCAATCTTACCCAGTCTGACTGACTGCTTTGAATTCACGGATGTCCTCACATGAAAAGAAAGAGACTACAACTTCCGTGTTAGGCATCAAATGATAGTCGTGGAGGACAGTATATCTCTATCCCGGTTGGCTTTCTCCAGTCTGATAACTTCAGTGCACACAAATATTCAAACTTTTATAAATCATTTGTTAAGGGAAAGTATGTCTCCACTATTTTAAACATTGACTCAATCATAAACACTCAAGAAACATTCTCACGATGAGTTAATGTGCTAGGGCAAAGAGGACTTCCAGTAATTGTGTGCTTTTGTAAATGAAGCTGTAGTGAAAAACAACTAGTTTTTTTTAACTTTCCTTTTTTTTTTTTCCGAATAATCCATCTCATTTAGTTTATTTAAATTAGTGTTCTCGGACATACATATGCTCTGTTAAGGTAGCTATGAGAGAAGATTAAAACTAAGAAAGGAAAAAAATCATTTTCTTATGGAGACTTGCATCATGATTCCCAGTATATTTACTATCTAATTTACTTTGTATCAAAGTCCAGTGCCTTGAATTCTAATTATTCCAAAAGGTCCCCTGCAAATTTTCAGGTCATTATAGAGCAGTGCATGTATATGTGTGTTGAAAATGTCACTAGCTTTTTTAAGTCACCCAAAACTCCTTCTGCATGGATTTGCTATTGCCCCATGAATTCAAACTTGATTCTACCTTCTATGTATGTTTGTTTCTGACTGCAAGAAACTTTAAAACTACTAATATTATGACTGTCCCCTTTTGCAGGATCTGGGACTATAACAAACTAAGACGTGAATCATTTGTCTTTCCCATTCCAATATTCCTCTCTCTTTTCTGCAGCAAACCCTCACCCTAATATTGTCATACAGATTCATTCAGTACAACTTAATGTTTGCAGTTAAATTTGCCCTGAACTGTTTTCACCCACTAACAGGCAAATGTGCTTGAGTCAAATACCAAATCACTGTTCCCAGTCATAAACTAAATGTCAAAAATGTGTTTCAGGTACTTTTCCAATACTCTGTGACTCCAGCTACTTCCTTTTGCAGGGGTGGAGAGGGAGAAGGTTATAATTAGGGGGAATAACAATAGTATGATGCAGTCTACCAAAATTTAAATTTTTTTCATGTGGCTGAACTAATAAGTTGCTTAAAAGGAAACGGATGTAAAAAGCAAAGCTTCCTTGTAAACCCAATATTTACTGCTCTGAGATCTCTGAAACCACTTAAGATCTTAGTCATTAAAGGTGGAGGTGTATCTTATAGAGAAATTATATCCTCAACTCAGTGCTTAGGGTAGAATTGAGTATAGTCAGAATTTTCTTTCCTAAATTCATTGGGAAGGTGCCAAAATAGAGATGGATATAGTAACCATATCTTGGGGAGTCCAAACCTTTCTAACACCAGATAAAGCATTTGGTTTGCTTAATAGTGTGTGTGGGGGGGGGGGTCATGTAGTATAATAAATATATGTATTGTCTTTAAAACTAGAATCACCATCAGCAAGATTCTCTTAAGAGACACAAGAGAATTGGGAATGAATGAAAGGAAAACGTTCATATTTACCATTCTATATACAGTGGAGGAGACCATCTTGATTCTAAGAGTTGAGAGCCAGATATAAGTGAGGTTGCTCACATAGTTAAGGCCAAAATCAGAAGGAAAATATGGGCTTCCTCTTAGACAAACCTCTTTAAGAAGGGTCCTCACCACATCTACACTTCCACCTTGCTCCCTGCTGTCTCACTCCATTCTAGTGTCTATTCCCATCATTCTAGCAAAACGGTACTTGCTAAGATCCAACAATGACCTCCTTATCACTTCTTCCATTGGACTTGCTTCAGCCTGAAACTGAAGTGAGTTCCTGCAGCAGCATTTGGCTGTATCAACCACTAGGTTTCTGAGACAACAAACTCCTGCTTTTCTTTTCTCCCACTTTAGTGTCCTTTACTGGCTCACCTTCCTCCACCAAGTCTTCAAGACGTTAAAGTTAGAACTGGACTCTTTCCTTTCTCTCCATAGGTGATCTCCTCTACACCCAGAGCTGCAATTAGCAACAGCAAGCCATTAACCCTTCGATATTCTAACCATACCTCCTGTTCTAGGTCTAGATATATGTATCCACCATCAACTCAGCAGTTCCAGGTGTCCATCACAAAATGTCAAAAACAACTCATGATCCTCCCCCAGACCTAGTTGTCCAGTCCCTATCTCAATGGATGGTACCACCCTCCATCCACGTAAAACCAAGTACCCCTAAAACTGAGTTCCTCTGCTGAGTTTATAATTAACCTCTCTACCCAAAACTTTATTCCCTTTCTTGTTCCACACCTATTCCCCCTCAAGATTTAGGAGTATCAAGGAAAAGGGAGGATTGTAATCAAGCAGGACCCTATGGGGCCTTCCTGGGACAGACCTTTCCCCTGCCAGGTCCTCTGCCTGCCTCCTGTTTATAGGAAAACTTTAGCCTTTTAGGCCTTCCCCGAGTTACAAAGAGCAAATTTAATCATAGGAGTGAGAAAAAGCAGAAACGAAGGAAAACAAGCAAGACAAAATAACAATAGTTTAGTTACGGAACAAATTTAGTTCCTCCTCAAGGACTACAGATAATATTCTGAGCCATATCCTTGAGCTGTTTTGCAAATACTGAAACTCCCACCAGGTGGAAGAAGTTAACTGCATGTTAGCTACAAGCACATAGACCACAAGCACAGATGGAACCAGAAGGCTGATGATGCTGAGTCCCAATTACCTCACCACCAACCAATCAGAAGAATGTCCACGAGCTGATCACACACCCTAGAAC